ATTAAAAAAAAAAAAAGAATTTTAAAATAAATAAACAATATTTTATTTGATTATAATAAAGAAAAATAAAATATTTAATAAAAAAAAAAATTTATTTATTTGTATATTTTTAATGTTATTAAAATATTTTATTTATTTAATTTTTTGATCGTAGTGCTTTGTTGTTTAATTAATATTTTATTTAAGACTGCTGGTGATGTTATTAGGTTCAATCTTCGTTGTTGTCTCCAATTGGATATTAATTTCACTTTTTAATAATATTAAAATATTTTCTGCAACAGAATGACTAATTACTATTACTTTTGTGTTTATTAAGCTTTTAATAGTGATTGAAATATTATGATTATCTTCAGTTTTTATCAATTATCGTTATCACAGTAGGGAATAATACCTGATTTAATTACTCTCTTATTTTATTTTCATATATGCTGTCTTTGGGTGTTGTCTGTAATTCTTTCAAAAGTATACCCCCAATTTTTAGTAAATATCAACACGTTATGGAGTCCCATTTTAAATTTTTAAAATTATATTTATTTTTAAAAATCGATATTTTTTAAAAAAAAAAAAAAAAAAAAATTTTATTTTTTTTTTTAATTTTTTTTTTTAATTTTTTTTTTTTTCGATCACAACAACAAACAAACACATAAATAATTTTAATAATGTAAACTATACCACATCTAATAAATAATAATAATTATAACATTACTCAAATATGTTTTAAACCTTTCGAGAATAAGTAAGTAAACCAATACATTATTTTAAAACAACAACAACAACAAACCCTTATATATAGAAAATGGCATCGTTGTAGGAATAGAAACAGAATTACTAATATAAATTAAAATAACTTTTCAAAAGACAGATTTAACAATTAAAACATGCCATTCAATACTCCAACAGGATCTGCTGTCGTCGATATTATGAATGAAAGGATTTTAATCATTATATAAAGATTTGGTCTAATAAATCCAACCACGAAATATTGCTTCTATATTATAATAGTCTCAAAACTAATATCAAATACTATCATAAAAAGTCACAAAGTCGCAGAAACTCAAAGACTTTCAAAGTCTTTCAATCTCGAGAATATCAGATAAAGCAAAATTCAAATCAATTACAAGTTCATGTAAAAATTCAAAAGCGTTAATGGATGTACCGTTCAGCTCTTATAGACGCTAGTGCACAGTTATCATGTATGAAAAAAACATTGGCAAAAAAAAGATTAAACTTAGATCCAACTAAACACTAATGAAGATATTCAATCTTATCAACTATTTATATGAATCTCAATACATTTGCCTTGGTCCAAGCAACAGTGATAGAACACAAATAGTTTAGATAAGGAAAAGGGTAAACTTCAGCTTTCGTAAATATTGTTCTATAAACGTAGTGCACCAAGACTACCTAAAAAAAATTGTATGTTGTATTTATTTCGACGAAATTGACCCTAATCTAATTTGAGAATGTGGATGCATCTCGAATGATAATTTATCTCAATAAATACTTTTAGAGAATAGAAAATTTATGGTTTATTAAAAAAGTAGAAGTTTTTGGAAAAATCAAAACATTAAGAATAGGGCTAAAATTAATCAACAAAGGAGTGCAGCTTTAAATTCTCTTATCAAAAGCATCCAAAAGTTGGAAATACCTATAGTTCAAAATCTATTGCTTTGAAATTACCTGGTGTTACTGATTTATTGGTTTAAAATAAAAAAATTATGGAAAATAAGGTTCAATCAAGTGTCAATATAGTAAAACCTTCCTATATAGTAATCGAAATTGATATTCCATCGGAATTCTTTAAAGTTGTACCTGTGGGCCCCAGTAGAAGTCATACATATCACCTTCATGCAAGTAAACAAGGTTCTGTTGGAATAAAGGCTTCTTTACTTAGAGTTTTTGTAAATATTTTCATTAATATCATCATATATTATAATAAAAAACTCTTTATTAATTCATTTTTTTTAAAATAGGATAATAATTCAAAGAAATATAAATATTTAGAAGACCTAATTACATTCAAAAAAAGGTTTCAATAGAGTCACATGTTTCTTTAATTACATCAATTAAAAAAAAAAAAGAATTTTATACTATTAGTATTAATCAATTAGTTTAATTTAAAAATAAAAATATAAATAATTTAAAAAAAAATAATAAATAAAAAAAAAAATTATTTATTTTTATACTCTCTTGAGTTCTAAAATTATAGTTTATTTTCTTTTTCAATACGTTCTTTATCTATTCTTTATCTTTTTTAGGTTGACGTATAATTGTAAACTGGTTTCATTTGATGAAAAATTAGATTTGGTAGAATTATTTTTAAAATTTTCTCTGTAATGACATATTACTATTTTAGCCGAAATAAATTTTTATCCTAAAACAATTAAATGTCCAATGGATTAGCTATATGATAGTGGATCGAAAAATCAGGGCATATTTAACTATTAAACTATATACATCCTTTCTTCTATATAAAACTGATTGAGAGTTTATTGAATGGTTTTTTGTGGAAGGATTATACCTGCAGAATATGTACTGATTGCTCTAAATAGTTTTTCTATATCTTCAATATTTGAATACTTGAGACATTTCTTTATTACTTCAAGGTAATCTTTGGGTGGTCAGCTCTGTTTGAATGAAACTTATCTAATGCCTTTTGAATATTACCAATATTTAATGTTTTTAAAAGTAGTATATAAATTGGTGATGATTTTAATTCCTCTTTAATTAAATTTCTATATGATGATGGTGGTGGAAGTGTTATATTACCATTATTAATTAAAAAGCTATTATTGTTTTTATTGTTGCAACCGCTACTACAGCTACTCCCATTGATAACATTACTATTACAACTGCTTATACTACTACAACTTGCGCTTCGGGCTAAACTGATACTATTATTATTTATATTGCTATATTCACTAATATTATTTAAATTATAGTTACTATTACTATTTTTTAAACTGAATGTTGTAGGTTCTGGTGCTGCTGTTGTTGTATTTTTGTTACTATTACTATAACTATTTTTTAAACTGAATGCTAATGTTACTGTTGTTGTATAATTATTACTATTACTATTGTTTAAACTGAATGATGATGATGAAGCTGCTGTTGTGTTATTATTGTTATTTTTATTATTGATATTGATATTATAAGGTTCTATGATATTTACTCGATATTTTAATAGTAATTCTAATGATTTAATTGATGATATTGAAAACTTTTTTTATTAATTGTGTAGTTTGGTAAAAATGTTGGTACATTCATTGATAGGAAATACTCCAATGCTTCTATATTATCTAAAAAGTATGCACATTCTACTAAATCAAACATGTGTAGCTGTTCTTTTTTCTTTTCGTATAGTAAGCTAATTAAATTTACATCTCTATTAGTCTAAAAAAAGCTTTATATCTCGAGATTTTATTAATATATATTCATCAGCCTGTATTATAATTAATAATTTAAAGTGTTATTACATATGTTTACTTTATAACAATAATCAATGAGTCTAAATGTTATTACCACTTACTTTTAATTTAATTTCTAATAAATTCCATATTTTCTTTTGACTATAAAGCCCAATGATCTTATGTTTTAATTTAATTCTATTAAAGTAGAATTGGTTTATTGTGGTTGCGGCTGCGGTTGTGAATGTTGGATGAATCTATTGTAATGTTTTTTTCTGCAATATCAATTGTACCACGAACTAAAAAATATTATTGTTTAAAACCATTTGAACTATCTCTAATTTCTAATACATACAATATTTTATTTTTATTTTTTGATTTTAATATCTTTAAATCTGAAACTAATGGTCCAATAAAATCAATTTCTAAATAAAATGAAAAATTAATTAATATTTATTTTGTAAATAAATAGGTATGGTATCATTTAAATATGTGTATAAACTTACTTTTTGATTCAGCAACTCTTAACTGATATGCAGAAGGTAATGCAAAACTTTTGTGTAAACATTACTTCCAAAGAATCTAATAAAATTGTATAACTAATATTACATGTGCAATTATATACCTTTACTGATGTGTCTTTGTATTTCACTTTATATTGTTTTTCTATTTTGAAAAAAATAAATTTATCATTACTATTATTATTTCTTGCTATTATTATTATTATTATTATTATTATGGCACATTCAGTAAATGATGGTACTGTAAATTTAATAAAAAAAATTAAAAAAAAAAAAAAAAATTAATTTTTAATTTTTTGGATTTTTTTTTTGGATTTTTTTTTTCTAAAAATAAATTATTTTAAACAAAATATTTTTTTTATTACTTTTTTCATTTTTTACATTTATTTTTTTTTTTTTTCATTGTTTTTTTTTTTTGGAAATATTTATTTTATTACAATTAAAATAAAAAAAAAAAAAAAAAAAAAAAAAAAAAGTTATAAAGAAAAAATAAAGACAAAAAAGATAACCAATGGGATGTTAAAAGGAAGTATTAAAGTTTTCCAATCTCTGAAAATAAGGTTCATTGAATAGAAATAAAGATTTATTTAAAAAATAAAATAAATAATTAAATTAATAAATAAATAAATAAACAAATAAATAATAAAGTAAATAATTATATAAATTATTTTCTTTTTCAATTTTATTTGTATTTTTTTAAAATTATATATTTTATTTAACTTTAATATGGTTTTGTGAAGGTTTTTAGAATGAAAAAAAAAAAATAGAATAATAGAATGAAAAATAAATTAAAATCAAAAGCCATAATCATTATTTAAATTAAATATGTGAAAATAGGTTAAAATGGAATTATTTTCAATTATAAAAAATCATAACCATCAATTATATTAAATTAACAAATAACAACATTTATTAAATATTTTTAATAACTTTTATTTTCTAATTTTATTTCTATTTTATTGAATATTTTGATTGCTCCTATTCGCATGGGTGAAGTCGGTTAAATAGTAGATGGATCATTTGAATTTACATAAGCCAATTTAAAAACCATAACCCAATCTTTGATTTATGAATTAAAATGGGTTGATACTGAAATAGAATTTAAATTAAAAATATTAAAATTAGTTTATTTTATATATAAATAAATAATAAATACATTATAGTTACCTTAAGAATACCCAATAGTAGTATATAAAACCAACGTATAGACACAAAGAGAAAGAATATTTTTGAAATATTACCATTTGAAATGAAGGTTGATAAAGATGTGATTGTTTATAGGATGTAGTTGACTTTTTTTTAATTTCATCTATTTTAATAATTGAAACATTGAATAAAACGATTTTATAAATTATTTAATCTTCATCGATTTCTAAAAAGAAACATAGAGTAAAGTATTTAAGCTATTAATTTAATCGCCTTCTATTTCAATATTAATCGAGAATCCATTATCTAAAAGATCATCTTCATCTTAATGTATATCTTCATCTTCATCTTAATTGCTTTCTTAATCTTCATACTGCAATAAAGTATTTATAAAAAAAATTAATATATATTTCACATTATCTATTATATATATAAATATAAATATGTTAATTTCTTACAATGATTTCATCAAATGGTTCTTCACAACGTGGGCAGGTTTTGTTACTTAATGATCTTCTTAAAATACACTTATAACAAAATTGATGGCCGCACCCAATAAAAGCCAAATGTTGTGGTTTTATTTCTTCTGAGATACACTTTTTGCAAAAACCTTCTCTTTTCATTTTGTCTTTTATTAAATTTTGGTACCCTTCCCATTCTTTTTCTTCTTTTTCTTCCTTTTCCCTTTCTCTTTAAATTTCCAAATATCTTTGTCCAAATATCCATTCTTCTGAGGTTGTTGATGAACTTGTGGATGGAGCAGATGAAGTTGGTGGTGGAAATTGTGGTCCAAGGTGTGATGGGGAAGTTGATAAACCAAATAAATGTGATGGGGATTGATTATTTGGTTTTACATATTGTGGGTGTTGTTGTGGGTGTTGGCAAAATTGCATTTGAGCAAATAAATTATTAGTTATTGGGGTATAATGTTGTGTGGAGGTAGTTATATTGTTATTATTATTATTTTGTTGTAATTTTTTTATTCTAATGTATTTTACTAATAATACTATAAAAAAAACAATTAAGAATACTACTAAAGTATACATAAAAATATTGTTGAATGAAAAATCCATTTATATATAAATATATTAAAATGAATATTTCGAATAAATAATTTTAATTTAAAAATTATATAGATATTATTGTTATTATTATTATGAAATAAAAACTATAAAAAAAAAATATGATTATTGAAAATTGTAAAAATAAAACTAAATTATTTGTATGTGAATAAAATAATAATGAAAAAAAAAATTAAAAAAAATAAATTCAAAAAAAAAGATAGAACTGTTTTGAAAATAATAAAAAAAATAATTGTAAAGTAATAATTTAGTTTATATCTTTTTTTTATAATAATGATTAATCATTTTTTTTATTTGATTTTGATTTTTTATTTAATTCTCTTTTAAATGATACCCAAAACATTAAACTAACTTTTTCATTGTAAAAAAATGATTTTAAAAAAAAAATTAATTAAATTGATTATTTATATTATTGATACAAGTAAATTAAATAATTTAATAATATTTATTTAATGATTAATTTTAATAAAATAATTATAAAGTAATTTAAATTAATTTTAAAAATTATAATTATGTGTTTTTTTCTACACTTACTTTGGTGTTTTTGAAGGATCTGTATCCATACATAGAACCCATTCTGTACATTTCTCTACTTCTTTTTGAATTTCAATAAAATTGAAATTGAAATTAGTTTAAAGATAATGTGCTGATTTATAAAATTATATATTATAAATACCTGAGAGATTGTTAAATATTTGGTAAATCATCATTATTATTACTTGTACAATAAATTATAGATAAAAATTTTATTAAATGCAAAATCCATTTTTATATTTATATTTAATAATGAATATTGGAATAAATAATTTTATTTTATATTTTATTTTTTTTTAAATATTAAAAATAATTTTAGATTATTTATTTAATGAGTAATTTTAATAAAAAAAAAGATTATTATATAAATTAATTTAACCTA